AATGTCATCTCTGTAATTTTTCCTTCATCATTTGTTTAAAGTACCTCTTGTTATTTCTGATAACCGACACTGTTTTCTTCTTAGGAGTGCCCCTTTTCTATTTTTTCCTTACCATATCCATTCATACTCTCTCTCTCTCTCTCCCATTAACATGTCCCCTTCAAAGTGGTTGCTTTGTTCACAGTTCACCCCCCCCCCTCAAAAATAATATTTAAAAAAAAAATAATAATAATAATAACATGTCAACGCAAAGCGTAGCATCCCCTCGCAGGGTAAAAATGGCTTATATACATTAGAACATTGGACTAAACTATTATATTACTAGGCAAGGAAATTTACCACAATTTCACAAATATAATTAGGTGTGTTTGCATATTTAATGAGCTATGACCTTTCACCTTTGACCTACATACTAAGAAATCGAACTTTAATAGGCCGTACATGTATTTTGATACCATATAACCTCATATCAAATTTTATTAGAAAATTTTCAAACATTACTCAAGTTATAAAATGAAAACCAGATTCGCATATTTATTGAGCTATGACCTTTGACCTACATACTCCGAAATCAAACTTAGGTTGTGTTTTGATACCATGAACCTCCATTTCAAATTTCATTAAAATCCGTCAACCATTACTAAAGTTATCAATCGGAAACCAGATGTGTATTTTTTGGCATATTTAACGAGCTATGACTTTTGACCTACGTACTCCAAATTCGAACTTAGCCTTTTTTTTATATCGTGTACCTTCATATCAAATTTTATTAAAATCCGTCAAACATTACTGAAGTTATCGATCGGAAACCAACTTTGTTACGTACGGAAGGAAGGAAGGACGGAAGGAAGGACGGACGGCGGCGTTACTATATCCCCCCATCCGACTTTGTCGGAGAGGGGATAATAATAATAATAATAATAATTACAATAATAATAATAAATAGATAAATAAATAATAATAACAATTAATTAATTAATAAAGTACAAACAGAATATTAAACACCGACTAATAACAAAAAGCATTGCAAGGGTATTTTAATATTCACCATCAACCAAATACACCATCATTGAATCACATTATTGCCCAATTATCATTTCATAATTACCACCATGCGCTAGGCGTACAATCTTATCCATTCACTATTCGACCCCCCCCCCCTTTATATTGTTAAATGACAAACATTACCTTGGTCACATGCAAAATAAAATGTACACATAATATAAAGCTTTAGTGGCTAATCATTGTGTTTATGACTTTTAATGAATGAAATCTAAATTGCGTAAATATAGAGCGATAGCAAATACATTTAGGGGATACAATAAGAACATTACAAATGACACAAATGAAAGTACTGTTATTAGGGTGACAGCCAATTGGTAAAACTATTGCAGCTAATATCTGCCACAATCAAAAAGAAATTGATATGACTGAAGTGAACACAAATCTTCAAATTGTTTCAGACTGGTGTAATGCTAATAAACTGACAATTAATTTACAAAAGACGAGTTATATGCTAATAAGAAACCAGAGACGGCAGATTAATGTTCAAGGGCAACTGGCTATATCAGAAGCTGAAATAATAGAAGTTGATTCTTCGCTCTTTGTTGGGATAAAGATTGATAAACACTTGACTTGGAAACCCCACATACAAATGGTTAATAAATGCATCAGACAAAAAGTAGGAATCCTCTTCCGCTTACGGCATTTTGTGCCTAGAAATATCCTAGTGTTGTTGTATAAAACCTTTATTCAACCTCATATATCATACGGAATTGAAGTGTGGGGGAGCACTTACAAGTCTCACTTAAATTGCATACTGTATACACAGAAGATGGCCATACGGACAATCACATTTAGCCATTTTATGAGTCGTTCAGCACCATTGTTTTACGAATTGAAAATCTTAGATATTAACAAGTTCTATGAGTTGTCTCTATGTACATTTATGTATGACCTAGTACATAATAATTTACCTCACTGTTTGACGGATTATTGTGATAAAATTGAGCATAGATACAATACAAGAAAAAGAGAAAAGGGCCATCTACGTATACCACTGTATAAAACAACACAAGGCAAATTTTCAGTAACTTGTGTAGGAACCCGATTATGGAATGAACTTCCCGATGAAATCAAAAACAAAGGGTCTAGAAACACTTTTCGTAAACATCTCAACGATTACTTGATGAATAAGTGATTGAATTATGCAAGTACACATGTATATATTGTAAATAATCTCCATATTACATTTTTGTTGTTTTTTTTTGTCAAAAAAATGCAATTTTTTGTATAAATAATCTGTAGATACATGTATCTATGACTTTTTAACCTGGTATATCCTCTTCATAATTATATTTGGAGTGTAGAAATTGTGCTACGGTATTACTCAACAAGTATACTTCTACTGTCAAGTTTTATTTTTTGATAATGATATATTTATTTTTGCCAAGTGTGTGCTAAGAACAGGGGCCAGACTCGACTAGCACATGTGCTATTATTTGGCTCCTTTTCATCACCTTCTATATTCTATGAGAAAAGACATATGTCTAGCATATCAATACTTTGTTAGGTTTTTCTTTAATATGATCTATAATATTCATTTATGAACATGTACCATTCACGATGTATTCAAATGTTTAATCACTGATGTTATTGATGATGAATAAATAAAATCAAATCAAATCAAATCAAATCTAGTCGAGGTACCTTTGTGAAGTAATTTAAAGAGTAATATTTGCTGTAGGATTACTGTTTACTCATATGGTTCGTAATCTAAAGATAATACACATTGTTATATACAAATGAAATTAATTATCAATCCTCTATCAGCTTTGGCAACATAAGTCAGACTAAATATAGTTCATGTGTGCTGTTATGGTTTTCCATAACGTATACCGTAAGCTTAATCCTGCACGACTAAAGATGTATTCTGGTTATCATATCTCACAAATGCACAATGGAAAAAACAAGAAGGATCGAAACAATGCATCTGGTAATATTTAAGTACTTCCGTTGGGATATTCTCTTCCTCGTCATCATTACCATCTTCTCTCCGGTCGACTCGGGAAGAGGGTGAGATTGTCTTGAAATCATTTTACATTTTCAACTCTATCTCAACTTAATCCAAAGCAACCATTCATTTATGTTCATAAATCTCTGAGTATAATTCCGGCATCAGACATTTAAATGCACTATAAAAAGATTTACTGTGCTACGACAAAATCATTGTTATTACGCGATGCGAAATACAAGGCTATACAGAAGTGACAAATTTACAGGAAGCAAACGAATCCTAAAGGTTACGGCGCAAAATCATAGTACAGTCTCGGAGCATTTATTTATTTATTTATTTATTTATTCAAGTTTTATTTAAAATAGAGGGAAGGTACATTCAGTTTAAACAAAACTGCTTTCCAAGTACGCCCTCTAGAATGACATAGCAAGTTTGTGATAAACAAAAATACAAGGAATATATAAAGATATAACATTCATCAAAACTAAACATTGACATATTTAACATAATATAGAGTACAAACATATATAACATAAGAAAAATAATTATACCGATAGAGGAAAATAAGAACGGAAATTCTATTATAATAAATGCTTTGCCAATTGGCATCCGCGATTAAATATTTGAATTGATTTGGTTGATTGAATTGAGGGAGGAAGTTTATTAAATAGGGTGCTTGCTTTTTACGAGAATGATCTTTTTTTTAATTCGGTTTTGGGGTATGGGATGTCAAGAAGAGAATTAAATGAATAGCGGGTACAGTAGTTGAAGGTGCGATAATTTATAAGTGATTTTAAATAAGTTGGGGCCATGACACTTAGTTTAAAAGCTAATAGACAGTAGTGATATTTCAATCTTTGTTCGACCGATTGCCAATTTAAAGTCGTAAGAAGCGTACATTGTGGTGTGTCGTAATCCTTCGCAGCTTCGATAAATTGGTCTTTCAGCATTTTCCCCAAACAGTACAACAATAGTCGATATGTGGTAAAATTAATGCAAGATAGAGGTTTACAAGAGTTTTATGGGGTATTTATAGGCGTTTTATACGACGAATACATCCAATAGAACGAGATATCTTAGTACTTATATATTTTGTGTGTTCAGACCACGTAAGTTGTGAATCAAGTATAACTCCTAGATATTTCATTGATTCGACACACTGTAAGTATTTAATTCAATTGAGAGACGATTTTTTTTTTTCCAACTTTCTTTTTAATCCAAAGGACATAATAATAATAATAATAATAATAATAATAATAATAATAATAATAATAATAATAGGCATTTCTATAGCGCCATCTATCTAGACAATTCTATTCCGAGGCACATTTATTATTACCCTGGCTTTAGCCTAGCAGCCGTTTATACAGCGCTCCAGCATTTCAAGGAATTAATTCCTGCCAGGTACCCATTTACATCACCTGGGTTGAGTGTGGCAAATGTAGATCAATGTCTTGCCAAAGGACATTAGTGCCGCGGGTGTATATACATCTTATTTATATCAAACCATTTACATATTAAATCAAAGTCATTCTGTACATTTTCTTGAACTTCAGAAAAAAACATTAGAAGTTATAAAAATGACAGTATCGTCGGCATGAAGGGATATTTTGGAATTATTATGAAATTTTAAATTATTAAAATCATTAATGTACAAACAAAAAATCAAGGGGCCCAGAATTGACCCTTGTGGCACCCCGGATTTAGCAGGTAAATACTCGCTACAATGATTATATATAGTAACACAATGTTGTCTACCAATCAAGTTAGATTTAAACCATTCATACACCTTGTCACTCATGCCATAAAAAAATAGTTTTTCAAGTATTATTTTATGTGGAATAAACGCAGACGCAAAGCATGATATCAGTAGGACTATATATCCATCAAAACATCTAAATCTCCAAACTGCAAATTTATTGTCAGCGTTCGCTTGCACTGTATACATGAATGCAGGGGTGAGGCTTGATCATTGAGGATGGCCAACAAAGAAGCTCAACATTTTCCAACAAGCAAATACAAAAAAGGGTCATTCATTTTGTAAATTTGCTGACAGATATAAAATAATATCGAATTTGCCGAAAGAAAATTTTGAGGGGGGGATGTTCACTCGAAGCCCCCTCTCCCGATGCCCCAACCAGGATGAATTTTGCATGCGTTTCGTTTAATGATCATTTGACGGTCATCGCTAGAATAGAATTTTCCTCATTACTTCTGACGGATAATTATTCTTCAAAACTAAAAAATCTGATTAGGTCTAGTTTTTTCCCCATGGCATCTTAATGTGAAACAGATAACTCTATTGCTGTATTAGAGTTGTTGCTCATGTGTGTTGCTTGTGACGTGCCGTGTGACGAAATTACGACCTGGCCGAGATCTAGTCATCTCAGATTCTGAACACTTTGTACAACAAAGCTGTTTCCATATCTTCCACACATTATCCTTCCTTAATAATGTGACCACTAATATAAAGAACCCCTGTAAGGAGTTGAAGATCACGAAGAGAACTTCAGCAACGTCGTCCTGCAGAAGAACCAGGTAGCCCGTAGACCAAGTCAAACCCATGAGGACCAGGAAGGAAACACCAGTCTGTGTTCTCTCGATGCCTTCTCTACGTTCAGCCTCGCGGTCCCATACTCGTGAAGCCGAGAAGCTGGCAGACTCGCCAAATTTACAGATAGCGAGGATGAAGATGAAGGTATTGATTAGCAGGATGACGCCCATGGGCACAAGGATTCCTCCTATCAAAGCCTGCTGCTGCACATAACAACTATGAAAGAGAGATGGAGAGAGAGAGTGTGGGTATGTGTGTGTGCGTGTGTGGACGTGTGTGCACGTGTATGGGTGTGTGTGTGTGTGCGTGCGCGTATGTGTGTGTCCTGCATTTAATCATCAATACTAATTAGGCATTTTTCGAAATTTTCATAATACCTCTGTCATTGTTTACCGCTTGTACATTCAATCGGGGCAAAAATTAAAGGCAAAATGTAAAGGGAAAAAATGGAGAGTGATAAAGATGGGAACATGATACGGCACCCCTCCTGACCCTCCTTTCTCTTCTTCACAATTTACATGTACTACATGTACTAATTAGTCACCCCCCCCCCCCATGACTGTCGTATCAGCTATAATATGATGATTTTTAAAAATAAGTTTTTATTTTATAAAGGTCCTTCAACTTCTAAAAAAAGATGAAAAATAAAACATTTACATTTCTTAGAAAGTCATGACTCAAGCACTTTGATTTAAAATCACTTCCAGAGTAGAAAGTACTTACAAATCTTGTAAAGCATAGTCACGACGCAGTACACCACCTGTTGCTCCTACAATAGCAGCTGGTACGCCTGGAAAATACGGTAATAAGTAAATGCCACTAAATTAAGTGATATTTTAAACAATATTATTTAATATTGAATCACTTCGATTCACGCCCAAGAACAATTTTATCCAAATTTAACAATATGTTTGCTTGAAAATATGACGATCTAAACCTTCATTATAATATAAAAATGTAAAAAGAGAAATTGATAGAAATATGTTGTAAATATTTCCTCAATAAGTTTGTAAGAAGTACTACGTGGATTAAATTTGGTAATGTTTCTTAAGATTAATGTAGAAAACTTTCGTCTGCTACATTCAAAGCTATTCATTCTTCTTCCTTTTCTTGAAGTGTTTTTTATTCAAATTGTGACATCTAATATTTCAAAATGAAATTAGAAATTCACATAAATAAATCAGTCATGGGGATTGAACGCTTTACAATTAAATTACTCACCCCAGCCGAGCAGAGTCGCCTTAAGCATAAACTTCGGTATGTAAGCATTGCTTCGAACCACGGTCAGATAAATATGGAAACCTTCGACTCCCATCCACGTCAATGAAGATAGCGCGAAGAAATGTGTGAGGGCAGCAATGACGCTACAGGAAATGGTCTCTAATTCGGCAACGTGAAACTCTGCATCAAATCCGATGATGGCTAAGAAAGCAAAGTAGAGCCCAAGTAGTGTAACGCAGAAACATAGGTGGATATAGCGCTCAATTTTTTTGACCCAAGAATCTTCAGACACGGATTTAGCCGAGGACGCGGATTCAGGTGAGGACGCGGATTCAGGCGAGGACGCGGATTCAGGCGAGGACGCGGATTCAGGCGAGGACTCGGATTTAGGCAGGGGCTTTTTGCTGCTAAAATAAAAGAAAGAAAGAGAAAAGGGAAAAATAAACCTTTAAAAAAATCCTAGGTATGGGTTAGAGTATTCGTACTGCACTGACCATCAGTGGCATATGCCTAGGGCACCCTACCTTTCAGCCGGGGCAAGCCACAGACTTCCCTGTGGTTTTTCTTTTCAACTGTAGAGACAAAATAAAGCCAATATAATGAAAATGTTGACAAAAAGCATACACCAAATTGCGTGAAGTGAGTTAGAAAATTGCAATTTTCTTCAGCTAGTGAGGGGGGAGGCAAACCCCTTGTTCGCGCAAGCGACGCGCCGCTTCTGTCCGTCTTTCATTATGACACCCCCCCTCCCCCCCCCCCCCCCCCCCTCTCCAAAATTCATGGATCCGCGCCTGTGTATTAACATATTGAAAAAAGTTTTATTTAACTTACACAGATTTTTGTTCTTGTGTTATGATATTCCAAAGCCAGTAGTATGTCGGAAACCGGTTTCAAGACAAATAGAAAATTAGATTTTCCAAAATGGTAAATAACTAAAACTATGTCCAATAAGAAAATGCATAGTGGACCTGGCATATAAATTAATCAATACATACATGTTTAGAGAGACCATTAGTACTCCAACTGTTTTCAGCTTAAGAGGGATACAACGTATATTTTCCCAGATTGCTGACAAATAGCTGACAAAAAATTGAAATATCCTTTCATATACTACGTTATTTTTATTTAGGTAGTTCCGAAATGAGTTACAAAAGCGGTTCAATTACACAAAGTTTGTCATTTGTTTGTGTTACAGTAAATGAATGGCACCTATTCAAACTTACCAGATAACATAAAGGTAGGTGAAGATAGTAATGATAAGGCTGATAATGGATACCCCACAACCTATGATGCTTAGCCATCGGAACACCTTGTTTTTTGGTCCCTCGGAGTAAATGTCCTTAGAATTTTAGGAAGAGAAAAACACATTTAGCTTTATTTTTAAATATTTTATTTGCTCCTTTGTAACGGCTCATTCTAATATTTCGTTTGTTTTCATCTGCAGTGGTTTTATCTTTCCCCATTAACGTGAAATTGCACTCACTTCGCTGGGAGGAGCATGAAAATATAGGATTTCTCGGTCAATGTCGTAAGTTGGCCACACAAATTTTTATTATGTTCATTCAATTTCGCCGATTCTGTCTCCGCAGCTGTTATTTTTCGTTCAAATTCGTTATTTAGCATTTAAATTCATAAAACGATTATTAAAAAATATATATTTTTATTCGAATTATAACCTGTTTCTTTTTCGTAAAAGTGTGTGTTTACAGACTATAGTTGTATTTATTGGAGTGGCGTACCATAATGGTGGGGGGGGGTATCAATACTCTATACATTGATTTATTTTATATGTTTTGTTTTGTTTTGTTTTTGATAATTTATTCGATGTTCGTAATCTCTTTGAAGCCATTTATATTTGAGTAAATTATAGAGTATCAGTTTAATCACAATCATAATCTGAAATCAGATTGTATACGTGTATTCTTTAGTTTATGTCCACATGACATGAGTTATTGAGATGTGCGCGCAGTGAGAAAACAATGTATCAAACTCATTAATGATTGTGTGGGGTGATTGTGCTTGTTACTGTATGTGATCGTGAGCATGATCGTGATTGTAATTGAGATGGTGATTACGATTGTGACTGAAATGGTAATTGTGACTGTGATCACGATCGTGATTGTGATTCAGTGTGATTGTGATTCAGATTTTGATGAGATTATGATGTAGTCTGTAAACACACACTTGCATTCACTTATATCATTGCATATTCATAAAAAGACACCCTTGCTTGGTTCCTTGCTAATTCTATATTGATGTGGCTAGGTTATATCTACTTAACGCTTGATCGTTCAGTTGCTAAATAGTGATGATTTAGTGGGTATACACCCCCAGTGAGGACAAATAACATGTTTGTTGCTTACCAACCCATACAATTTGAAATGGATTTAGCATGGAACTAAGCTTGCGGGGTGCTAATTAGTTTAATTTGTCTGCAAAACGTGTGAAATTGTATGCAAAGAAACGAATTTGAATTCACGGAAGACGCTATTACGTAATCACGAATCGTCTCGCTTTAAATTGATTGAAAGTTTTACGAAAAAGAAACACGTTTTAATTCGAATGAAAATAAAATATTTTTGAATGATCGTTTTATGAATTTAAATGCTAAATAACGAATTTGAACGACAAATAACAGCTGCGGTGACAGAAGCGGCGAAATTGAATGAACATAAAATGAATTTGTGTGGCCAACTAACGAAATTGACCGAGAAATCCTATATTAACAAGAAGACATTTTCAATCGTGAAAGCCTTGAAACTCTGCAAGCAAAATCTTAAACTTGAAATCATGGGACACAGGATGGAGCGCAAAGTTTGTTTATATCCTGAGATAAATATTGAAATCAAATGAAATATCATGTCATAATCATATTGACAAGATCAATTCCGTCCTTAGATGAGTTTAATTAGGATTGTAATGATATCGAATAAACTACATGGTTTTATTTAAATACTTACCACAATCACTGCAAAGCTTGTAAAGTGGTCACATGCACAGGTCACACTGTTGATGTCGGTGATTTCTACATCATCTGGAGCAGTTATCTGTTTGAAAGATGTGTCTTGACCAACTCTGATTAGTATGCAGCCTCGGGTTGACCAGTTCCCAGTTCCAGTGTCCCAGAAAGTACAGACGGGATCGTAGTTGTCCTCCTGTTTGATGATAACAAACGCGTATAATCATGTTAATATTCTTAATAGATATTTAGCAGAATGATACAATCATAATAAGAAATTTGTCTAGTTATTTAAAATCACTTCATGTTAAATATATTTAAAAGAAACTGAACAAATTGTTGAATTTCCTACGAATGGCTCGTATTGAAACTGCCTGCTGTTATTAATGAATTTCCGCGGTCGGAATATCAAAAAGAATTCTCGTGAATGATATTTTTTGTTTTGGTAACTACATTGTAACATCTACATTTCAATTTGCTTTGTAACCAAACAATGTCTTATCTATAGGTTTGAATTTGTTATCAAGATTAACTAAAAGTGTATTAGCATTATTGGGCCAACTAACTTCTTATAAGGTAGAACATGGGCATTGATTTTACTGAGTTGTGTCTCCATATCAAACCCGTTTCTGCTTACCTGCAGGGACCAATTCATTCGTTAAAATGCCAAAGACCCGTGGAAAAGCTGATCGTACATCTGCTCTGACTGCATCCAAAGAATGGAACAATATCCCGTCGTTCAGTAATTCAGCTCATTACACGCACCAATTAAAGAAATTATTAAAGTCCCAATATCTTTAAAACTCCTTTTCATTACATTATCGTATTTGTAAATGCTGTGAGATAGTTGTACTGAGTAGAACGTATGTAGAGTAAGAGAGTCCTATCTAGTTAGCCAACAATATTCACCAAATACTACAAGGTTACAGACAACTCACAAAAACACGAAATAACAAACTCTCAACAATTGTACTGGGAGTTTGTGATCCTGTGAAGATATCGTTAATTGTTCTGGATAAACTGGGGTGTTTCACAAAGATCCCAAGTTGAACTTATCTCTAAGTTGGACTTCAAAATTATGGAAAGCCATTAGCATCTTTGAAAATATTTTATACAAGTTATTTTGAAAGGCATAAAATGTTGATTCAAATCATTCATATTTTCTATCATCAAGAAGATTTCATGTTCTGGATGTGGAATTTATGAAAAGTCTAAAATACTTTAATTTCCACTTTTGAATGTATTTCATTTTAAGGCTCCAATGGCTGTCAATAATTTTGAAGTCCAACTTAGTGTTAAGTTCTACTTAGGATATTTGTGAAACACCCCCCTGAAGTTTTTAATCTTACCATAATGTTGGAAAAAGATAGATTGACGGGTTGCGACAAGTCCTCAATTTTCCGTCCATCAACGATGACAGTCATTACTGGTGTGTTTACAACCCTGCTGAAAAGTTCGTTATTTTGGTTGACATTTCGTATGTATTTAGAAGGATATAAGACATCACTAGCATAAACTATAAATATGATTTTAGCAGACTCCATCATTGATGTGGTTCCGCCTTCAAACGGCAGACGTAACGCCTCCACAGGAATGACAGTCTGTACAAGTGTTGTTTCAATTGGAATGATCGAACTAGAATCTCTAACAGCAACTGTGGTGTTTGTTTGAGTGAAATCGGTGATGTCAAGACCGGACAAT